TTGAAGCAGTGGTTTACAGTGAATTTATAACAGCTAAGGGGGTTTCAGCTGTTATAAATTCACTGTAAACCACGGCTTCACAAGTCTTATTGCTTTAATTTACCTTGCAAAAGACAAAGTGCACTTTTATATTGGTCAAATTGAAAATTACAGTTTCCGGTTTAAACTTTTTTTTTTTTCCAGATTGTCTAAAAGCAAGTAACACTCTCAATTAAAAAAATACAAATAAATATTAAATAAATTAAAATTTTATTTGAATATAATTTGGGAAAAACAAATAAATTAGGCTGTAACAAATTGAGTATTTGAGAGTATTTTTTTAGCTGGTCCAAAGTGTCTGTTTTCAGTGCTGTTTACTGTATCTCTTGGTGGAATAATGAATTTTGCTGTACCTTTCGAAAAAGTATTCACTCTCTGTTCTGAAGTAGTAGATATGAGATTTGAAATGCAGTTTGAAGACGTGATCTCTATGGATGTTTTCTGACTCGCCAGCATGTGTTACTGAGTAACCCAACAACGGCAGACTGGCCAGCGGATACTCATCCTTACAGAGAGAACAGTCAACAGAGAAATGAGTGCAGACAGTCCAGACATTTCACACACATCTGACAGAGTAAACACATCGTGTGCGAGAGGATATGACAGTGTGTGTGTGTGTGTGTCTGTCTGCGTTTTACCTCATGTGTTTTGTAGAAGAACAGGGTGAAATTGGTGAAAACCACCCAGAGTTTCTGCCAGCCGTTACTGTTTTTAAACTTTCGGAGCAGATTTCCTGAGAGCTGGTTCTGTCAGGCACAGCGACCGAACTGTATTACACATTTTCGTACTCAAACATAGAGATGAGCAGATGTAGGACTGGTACCTCTATGGCGATGCTGAAGTCCAGCTTGGAAACACTGGTGTTGCGATGCCAGCACACATGTGCTGTGGTGTTGCCGCGGTGAAGAGTGTTTGCGGAATCATTGCCGTTGCGTTGCAAAGATGTTCGAGACCCACAAAGATCGTCCTCTGACTCCACTTCAGACGCCCCTGAGAATTCTGAGAGAAACATTAACTGTATCCTAAAACACATAATTTTGCTATAACACGCTCCCTAAAGTTCTGTTAGCAATCACTGCATTATTGAACCATGTGACAGCATATTCTGACTTCTGTACACTGATTATCGTCCCTGATTAAACAGCTGATCTACGGCAGTATAACATGAAAAAGAAATGCATTTAACTGAGTTGAATGTGCATTTGTAGTTTACTTCAAATCTTAAAAGTATATTTAAAAAAATTGTACTTGCAGATACTATAATATTAACTAAATAAAAGGCCAATGAAGAGAGTAGATTTTCATGACTTTTTTGTAATAATGTCATATTAAAAGTTCTACTTTAAAGTACATTTTAAATCATTATTTAATAGTTTTAATAGTTTGACATGCTTTAAAGAAGTACACCTATTTTGATGTGTTGACTAACATACTAAAGCACATGTAAAGTACTTGATTATAATTATAAATAGTGTGTTATTCCATATTACATTTAAAGTTTCCTATTTGAGTGGGTCATAAAAGCACTGTAAAGTTCAGCTAATTGCATTGTGTATAAGATAAACATAAAACATTTTCATAGTTAACATGCATTTAAGTGTCCTTAAAAATTACATTCACTTAAGTAAATTTTTTAAGTATATTATGCCAAAATAAGTACTATTTTTTAGTATGCTAAATTGCACTTCTTTGGTAATATATATATATATATATATATATATATATATATATATACTGTATATATTAGTGTTGTCAAACGATTAATCGCGATAAATCGCATCCAAATTAAAAGTTTTTGTTTAGATAATATATGTGTGTACTGTGTATATTTATTATGTGTATATATAAATACACACATATACAGTATATATTTTCAAAATATTTACCTGTATTTGCATCTATATATTTATATTCATATAATTTACATTACATATAAACAAATTAATATATAAACATAACAAACTTGTTATAAATGCATACATGCATGTGTGTGTATTTATATATACATAATAAATACTCTGAAAATTAGTTGGATCATGACAAGTTGCCAAAAATGGAAAGTCATTTCAGAGATGGAGAAAAATATTGCATTTTGATAAAACCAGGAAGATGTATTAAGAAAGCAAATAGGGTTTTAATTCGAATGATTCTAATTCTAAGGCAATTATATTTTGTAACAAACATACAAAAGGTGTTATCTGATTCACTTACTGACATCCTTGCTAGCAGTCAGCAGGTCAGCAGTCGGTCCATTAGACTCTTCAGCCATGTCAACCGCCATCTTTAAATCCTCCATCCATTTCTCCATTTCTGACTCTGAACTACAAGAGACAGGAGACCTTTTTTAATGCACCCATCATATATGGACCTCTAACACTCTTACATCCACTTAAAAAGCTGTACTTGTCTGATCAATTAAAAGTGTGCTGTGTGTAAACAGTGGGCACAGATGAGATGTGAGATTTTATAAAATTGTTGACATGCTTTCTATTACTGTACTTGCTGTCTAGCTGATGACACACAGATATTACAAATGACTGCTCAACATTACCATGCGGCGACCACCAGTGACTGCTGCTGCACCATCAGTGTGAAGGAGTGCGGGACGCCCCACTCGTCCTCACTCTCCCGGATCTGAACACATACACACATAATTAATTTATAGACAGATTTCTCATGGGTGGATTCTCATGCCAAATCATTATCATCTGCACAAAAGTTGCTGAGTTTTCATACTGTCATGCCGTGCAGAGGAAGTTGTCTGTGCACTGTAAACTGATTGGCTGATGTTATCCCTCGGGTGCTGTACAACAGAACGCCATTAAACTGGCTCCACATAAAAAGAGAAAAAAGAGTTAATCAGAAATCGGTTCATTTCATGTGTAAAAATATGAAATGAGTTAAGTGCTAGGCCTTATATGGTTAGTTATATAGACATTAGAATGATCAGAATTACCAACATTCCACAATAGAAGTTATTTTGAAGAAGGTTGGTAGCCAAACAGTTGCTGGTAGCCATTGGCTTCCATAGTATAGAAAAAAATACTATGGAAGTCAATAGATACCAATAACTGTTTGGCTACCAACCTTCTTCAAAATATCGTATTTTGTGCTCAACAGAAGAAAGAAACTCTTGTTTGAAACAACATGAGGGTGCGAGTAAATGATGACAGGTGTTTTATTTTTGAGTGAACTATCCCTTTAAGAACAATAGGTCACTATATCATGGCTGTGTAGTGTATGTGTGTACTGAAATCTCACCAGGAAGAACATGCGCTGTTGAAGGCCTTTCCCAGAGAGTTTGCTGAGGCAGCCCAGTCTGATGAGCTGACGTCCAGCCACGGCCGGATGCTCAACACCAATCAAATCCTTCTGAAGCTCCAGGAGTTTCTGATAGTTCTCAATCTCTTCCAGACCAGGACGAAGCGCAGCCTCCAATTCACACACATCGTCCCATGCAGCTAGAACACACACAGATATACATTACTGTTCAAAGGATTGTGGTCAGTAAGATTTTTTTTAAATTATTAGTTTAGTTAGCAAACGCGCACTAAATAGCTAAAAAGTGACAGTAAAAACATTTATAATGTTCCACAATATTTCCATTTCAAATAAACGCTGTTCTTTTAAACTTTCTATTTATCAAAGAATCCTTAGAAAGAAATTACTTCAAGAAATTAAATTAAAGAATTAAAGAAAGTAATAGTTTCAGCAAGGATGCATTAAATTGACGAAAAATGACAGTAAAGACATTTCTAAAGCCATTTATAACTAAAATTTTCCATTTCAAATAAATGCTACTCTTTTCAACTTTCTATTCATCTATTAATCTTAGATATATCATGGTTTCCACAACAATATTAAGCAGCACATTGATGATAATAATCAGAAATGTTTCTTGATCAGCAAATCAGCATATTATAATGATTTCTGAAGATCATGTGACACTGAAGACTGGAGTAATGATGATATTTTCACATAGAAAACAGTTATTTTAGATTACAATCATATTTTCACAATATATCACATATGAGCACAAGAGACAACTTTCAAAAACATTAGAAAATCTGACTGACCCTAGTATAATATAATATAATATAATATAATATAATATAATATAATATAATATAATATAATATAATATAATATAATATAATATAATATAATATAATATAATATAATATAATATAATATAATATAATATAATATAATATAATATAATATAATATAATATAATATAATATAATATAATATAATATAATATAATATAATATAATATAATATAATATAATATAATATAATATAATATAATATAATATAATATAATATAATATATATGGAGACTAGTGCATACTAGTGTATTTTTTATTCATATTTATTTTTATGTTTTTATTTAATTTTGGTCAGTTTTTATATAAACACACTTAATACTTTATTGAAAATATGCCATGTCTTTTGTGTTATTTATTTAACTGAATTCTCTTTATTTTAATTATTATTATTATTATCATTATTATTATTTAATCTGACCTCAATAAATGTCAAATTTATAAAGAAATACAGAAAAGTTTTAAGGGTTCACAAACTTTGCAGCAGGTTTTCTGGTTCTTCAGTTCCTTTAAATAAGCACTAAAATGCACCTTTTGGCTGTTTTAAAATAAATACTTTCATGAAGCATTTTTCTATTGAGGACATCCCGAAAAAGTAAGTTGTTTTCAGATTTAGCTGTCTTCAGGGAACATTTTTCATCCCTGTTTTCTCCAAAATTTCAGCTAGATCAAAAACCTGCTCACACACACACACACACACACGCACACACACACACACACACACGCACACACACACACACACACACGCACACACACACACACACACACGCACACACACACACACACACACGCACACACACACACACACACACGCACACACACACACACACACACGCACACACACACACACACACACGCACACACACACACACACACACGCACACACACACACACACACACGCACACACACACACACACACACGCACACACACACACACACACACGCACACACACACACACACACACGCACACACACACACACACACACGCACACACACACACACACACACGCACACACACACACACACACACGCACACACACACACACACACACGCACACACACACACACACACACGCACACACACACACACACACACGCACACTCTCTCTCTCCCACCTCTGCAATCGCTGTAGTCGGTGTGTGTCGACGGGAAGTGTTTGCAGAGTCTGTCTAGTATCTGTCTGTAGTGCAGCAGGCGATGGAGAGGACTCAGCAGAAAGACGTTCAGAGGAATGTAGCACACCTTCTGCAGCTCAAACTCACGGCACACACACTCCAGCCTGCGGGACACGACACACGCTCTCTCCAGCGCAAACACACACTCTGAGGTCGTCTGCAGCTGAGCTGAGAGAGCCTGAAGAATGACAAACACACACAATACTGACAATAACATGACTGATAACAAACCATCTACCACACACACACACACACACACAATCACCTTCATCTCCTGTACGGTCTTCAGCAGCAGGTCTCCTATACGCTGGATTTCTCCTTTAACCTGCATATTGCATTGGCCTTCCCTAAAACACATTACAAACACATTCAGAATATCTTGTTGTGAGTTCCCCAGAAGAAAGAAAGTCAGGTTTGGAATGATATTATGGTGAGTAAATGATCACAGAATTACTATTTTTGGATGAACTAACCCTTAAACGTCTTGTGCACACTTTTATCATTAGTTACTGAACAATGGTGGGGTTTGACCAACAGGTGGCGATCATAAATGTTTTCTGAGTAGAGCATTATATTGATCAAAAGTGACAGTAAAGCCATTTATAAAGACAGTTATATTAAAAATGTTCAATTTCAAATAAATGTTGCTCTTTTCAATTAATCTAAGATGTATCAAGGTTTTCATATTAAACATATGAAGCAGCACAACTGTTTTCAACACTCATAATAATCAGAATTATTTCTTGAGCAGCAAATCAGCATATTAGAATGATTTCTGAATGGATCATGTGACACTGCAGACTGGAGTAATGATGCTGAAAATTCAGCTTTCATGACAGAACTTCTCTAAAAAATTTTACTCAGTCAGTCACTGGACAGAGAGTGAGGTTCATGTTCATGTTCATGCGTGCAGCTGATAAAGTAAGCAGAACCCCTGTGCAGATATGCTGTTGCGTTAAACTGTGGAAAAGTCCTACAAAAGCCACATTGCCCTCAGGCCTGTAAACATAACCCCATTTCAGTACTCTCTCACATGTACACACACACACAC